TATATGTATGTATATATGTATATATATATATATATATATATATATATATATATATATATATATATATATATATATATACATATGTGTGTGTGTGTGTGTGTCTGTGTTTGTGTGTGTGTGTGTGTGTGTGTGTGTGTGTGTGTGTGTGTGTGTGCGTGTGTGTGTGTGTGTATTTATATGTGTATATATATTCATATACATACATACATACATATATATATATATATATATATATATATATATATATATATATATATATATATATATGAATATATATATATATGTATGTGTGTGTGTGTGTGCTAGCATTGATAAATATGATATGATGAATCACCCTTCTTTATTTTTTTTCTTTGTCCTTTTTTTAAACAATACTTTGTACAACAAGCAGTAAAACATACCACACTGTATTTCAGTGTCATGCAGCCGCCTATTCAAATATGTACAGAAATACAATAGTGAAAGAGAAACTCCGCATTCAAAGGGCTGTATTCAAATATGAATAGAGTTAATCTTGTAACATAAAGATCTGAAAATGAATAGAATTCGGAACAAAACAGCCTCCGATATCCGTTCCGTCGGCCCGATCCTTCCGTTGCGCTGAGCCTGCCACGTGCTTATCTCCCTCGCATCTGCCCCTTGCTTAACCACCTCGGGACCATCTCATAAATCGAGAGGTATTTATCAAACGGGTCTCGGTGTTGCACTATATGAATGCTGCAGTGGCATTACTCAACACTGATATAGCCCGGTATTAACCATCGTAAGTTTTGCAGAAGTGGGTCTTATCTCTGCTATCAAATATAAAGTAACTTGATACAGTGTTGTTCCGTTTTTGGAAAAGGTCGTTCCTGTAAGCTATGTATTCTGTAGCCTTCACTGCTGCTATCTTACGTGGTATCTGCATTGTGTACTTTCAGAGTTATGTTTGTTTCTATTTTCTGTTTTTTTTTTTTTTTTTTTTTTTTTTTGGCGTGCTTCTGTTTTCCTCTTTGGATTATCTCAGGAAGAGAAATGGGAGAAGGAAGGAAAGGGAGAGACCAGTGTTAGATACAAACACACACATCCATACACACATCCATACCCACACACACACATACACACAAGTACACACACAAACATACAAACACACACACACACACACACACACACACACACACACACACACACACACACACACACACACAGATATATCTATGTTCATGTATAAGTGTATGTACGAATGTACGTGTGCACAGAAAGAGAGACAGTTATCCACAACACGAGAATCTGAACCAAAGCTTTATCAATCCTGTTTTCCATCTCTGTCTTTTTCTCCCTGTTCTTAATGCCGCAGCGCCAACCCGTGTATATTGCTATAAGGTTTTATTTTCTCCAAAGTGTCCTATGACATATGTTATCTGCAAGTCATGTTCCCGACCCACGCTAGGCTATATGTGGAAGAGGGGGAAGGAAGAGGGGGGAAGGGGGGGGAGATGGGGTGGGGGAAGAAGGAGGGGCGAGAGGAGTGGGAGGAGATGGGGGAAGAGGAGGGGGAGGGGTAGGGGAAATAAAGAGGTGGTAGGGGAAGGGAAGAAAATGGGAGGGAATGGACATGTGAAGTAAAGTAGAAGAGAGGGAAAGGGAAAAAAGGAAGATAAAGGGAAGAGGAAGAAGGAGGAAGGAGATATATAGGTAAGGAAGAAGGGGAATGGTGTGGGAGGGAAAAGGTAGACATAAAGGGGGAAGGAGAGGGAGAGGCAGGGAGAAGAGGGAAAGGGAGAGGAAGGGAAAAAGACAGAGACAAGAGGAAAAGAGAGAGAGAGAGGGAATAAAGGGAGAAACGAGGGTAAGAGGAGTAGGGAGGGAGGAGAGAAGGAGAAAGGGAGGAGGGAGAGGAGGGGGAGATACTGATGAGCCACAGATGGGATGAGCGAGATGCTGGTAATGTATTCATGGTCGAGTTAACCGTTGTTCCTCTCGAGATTAACGGACTTACCTGCTGGCACAAGCGAATCACTCAGACCCACATTCAGGCAGACACATATAGATATGTGCATACGAGAGGCACTTGGATTCTTTAGCACACAAAACGATCATATACACATGCATTCTAAATACGTGCTCAAGAACACGAACAAACACACAAACATACACGGACAAAAAGGAATAAATTAATAGATATGTAAATACACTTACAGATATAAATAGACACATACACATATATGCCACACGCTAATACTCTACCACCTAAAATGTGTTCATACATAAGTATTCATACCACAGACGCACATTTCCACCAAAATATTTACACACGCGCGCGCGCGCGCGCGTGCATCAACAGGCAATAAAAATCTGTATATCAAAAATCAAACTATAGAGACATAACGTAAGACATGGCAAAAAAAACTACTTGGCAACTGGATATCTAATCATCATACAGCAAAGAAAAAAAGAAAAAAGTTGCAGCGCACCATTGTAAGACTATCTTATCATCACAAAACGACAGATACAAGGAGAG